AGACATTGGCTTTCGCAGTTAATGGTATATGTCCCATCGTGCAAAGCAATGCAATAGCGAAAGTCTCCATCATCCGATTGGGCGACAGCGAGGCCAGCGTAGAGAGGCTGCCAAATCCACATGTTAGCAGATAATCTTTAGGATGTAAAATTAGTGGTACGGACCTCGACAGCGGTCGCAAGAGTTCCCTTTTGTTCCTTGAGTTTGTGGAGCGCATCCGAGGACTTGAATGAGGTGATGCTAAGCTGACGTCGCTCGTAAGTCGACTGACGTCGGCACACATATGTGGATCGCTGCTCGCCAGTACTGTCATGCTGAAGCGACATGGTGAACACTAGTGTTGGAGGTTGTTCTGGAAGAATGAAGAGTCGAAAATTAGAAGTAACGATTAGTTAGTTGATAGCAATTGGCACATAATAGCAAGCTTCGATGATAGCAAAGAGTATTTTGTATTGTAACGAAGCTACAGGCGGATGCAGTGCTTTTATGGCGAGCCTGGAAACTTCACAGGGCAGTAGCCTGTGATTGTGACGGACATTGAAGCAGCCACGGTGATTACGAGCATGCTAAATGCAGCATGATTTCACAACGGGAAGCAGTGGCGATTGATAGCAACCAGTAGACAAAAGGCCAGTACGAGCTGTTGGATCGCGCATTGAAGAGAATACGTAGCGTCGGCTGTTGGAAGCGGTGACTGGAAAGACATAGATCACAAGGTGTGTTAGCCGTGGCGACCAGCAGGCAAAAGGACAGACACGGGACGATGGGGTGACGCAACGATAGCCCTAGCTGCGGGACGAGATCTGGTAAGGTGAGCATTCCGAGATGGCTTACGCGACGGCGCTAGGCACTTTCACGTGGCACTACGAATAGGAAAGCGCGACAGCTACACATTCGTCAGCTCGTCACAATACAACGACGAGGACGACCAAGTTGCAGAATCTGCTGCATTGTTCTCAATGCGGTGAAAGAGTGCGTCCTTTGGCATGAACGAATTTTCCGTGGCTGGCTTGGGCGAATCACACCTGATACCATCAGCAGCGCGGGGCGCTCGAGGGGCCGCGTGCCATAGGATTGCCTAGGTATGATGCAGCCGCCAACGCGTCGTGTAATCATCGTGATTACGTGTGAAACCAGCACTGCAGATGAGCCGGATATGGGGGACGGCGTTGCTCAATGTGAAGGGTGGTGACGCGAGTATAACAAGTCATGCAACATTGAAAGCAAAGACTAGTCCTGGATTTCAGCAGATTGCATACTCCCAGGAGCCACGAGACATTGGACCATACATGCAAAGTCGATCTTTCAAGGACATCTACAATCAGGCAAATAGGTAACTGGCTCGAACACATCATGATGGCTCGTACGGCGATACAGTAGCCTGCATGCGCTTGCAACACTTTCCCCGCGTAGCCAAATGGCCGAAGCCTAAGGTGCGCCTAGCTTTGTTGTTTCTGTTATCGCCGACAAGTAGGAACTCATCGTGGGGGTGGCAATTTGCTGTGGCACAACATCGTCTGGGTCAATATACAACTGGGGATGCTGATGTAAGGTAGGAAAACCGATTGCGGCCGAAACAGGACAAACACGTGTGATATGCAGCTTGGCCCAAAGGACTCTAGCGCGACGGGAACGGCAGCGTTAGTGCGAGCAAGGGTTCGTCATGATGGGGTGGAGCGGAACGCCCGACACGAATGGGAGGAGAGAGGTTGTCGAGAGCTTGGGACGAAAGGGTTCGAGTGGGGGAGGAAGCGTACCATGGGTGAAAACCCTAGCGGCGTAGTCGGCGAAGAAAGATGCCGTGGCTGAACAGCAGTTCGGCGTAAACTCCAGATGCTGATGTTTCCCGCCTGCCGGATTTGGAACGCTTCTTCCTCCGTGCAAGCCAAGCAAAAGCACCAACCACGGACCCACCCATCTTGCGCTCAAACCTCAGCGATCTCGCGGCCACCACACCAACTGCACTCGTCTGCATCCCTATCTGGCTTCATTCACCATCCATCCATCCGATACCCGTCGCGCCCACCAAAGGGCCGGCCCCGTCAACGTGTACCAGTTTAGATAGCTCGTCCCAGCTGTGCGACAGCAGCCTTGCGACCATCAGGCATCCACACGACCCCGTCGCATACCGCGCCCTGTTGTTCGCGTCTCAATAGCGCACCACGCGAAGCATATCGGAAGCTCAACTTCGTATTTCCCCCCACGAGCGCGCACCAACCGCCAGCATGAACCACTATCCTCCCCGTGTCATGGGAGGCCCCCAAGCTGAGCCAGCCCAACGCCTCAATCAGCTGCTCGACAGCATCAAGACCGAGTTCGAGGCGGAGTCGCAGCGTAGTGTTGATGCCGAAGGCCAAAGTGAGTCTTCCCCATGCTACTCAGCCGTGAATTGAGGCAGTCGCATTTCGAAACCGAAGGACCTCTGAAGCAAACTTTCTGCGCATGTCTTCGACTGCATGTTGTCGCGAATAGCTCAATATCTTCCCATGAACAGCTGCTGATTGCTTCTTCTAGTTACCCGCCACATTCAAGAGATTGAGTTGATCCGCGGCAAGGTCTACTCGCTCGAACAATCACACAACCAGATGAAAGCAAAGTAAGCTCGTCTCTACAAATCCCCAAGAAACCTTACTGCCATTCCTTGGCATGTTGGATTTTGAATACTGACTTGCATCGTAGATACGAGGAGCGCATCGCCCAGCTGGAGCGCGAACTCGAAGCTCGTGGCGGCCCCAGCCAGAACTCGCAGCATCACGGCCCATCGCAGCCTCAGCCGCCTCAAATTGGCCATGGACCTAGCAACTTGTTCGGCGGCATAATGGCAGGCAGTGCTGCGCAGGGCGGCCCTGGACTGGCGCCTCCTCCACAGGAGCCGCCCCAAGGCCACGGCATGCCACCACAACTGGGGGGACCCCAAGGTCCACCAGGACTGAACCCTGCTCCTGGACCACCACAGCACTTTGGTGGCTACCAGCAGGGCCCATCTGTAAATGGTGAGCTTAGATGACCTCCTATTCGTGACTATATCTTGGCTGACACACCGCAGGTTATGGTCAGCCTCCACAGCCCACTGCCTCCCCTGGTGCTAAGCGTCCAGGTCCTGCTCGCGGTCCTCCTAACGGTCCCCCCAACCCCGCGACACCTCAGCAGAACAACCCTGCTCCGTATCCCGGATCGCCCCAAGTCCCACGACCGACTCCTCCTCCCAACCATCATCAGCAGCAGCAGCAGCCGAGTGCTTTGATGGCGCCCAACCACATTCCCCTCAGCCAGAGCAACGTCTTAGCTGACCTAGACATCGAGCAGTTGCCAGAGAACTTGAAGAAGGAAGGTAGCGATTGGTTCGCTGTCTTCAACCCTCGCTCCAGGCGAGTTCTAGATGTCGACCTCATCCACAATTTGCCACATCAAAGTGTGGTTTGCTGTGTACGCTTTAGTTTGGACGGTAGGTGGGTTGCGACAGGTTGCAACCGTTCGGCCCAGATTTTCGATGTCGAGACTGGAAACCCCGTCGCGCATCTTCAGGACGGAAGCCTACCCGAGGATGGAGATCTGTACATAAGGAGCGTCTGCTTCAGTCCTAACGGGCAATATCTCGCGACTGGTGCGGAGGACAAGGTCATCAGGGTAAGTTTGATTTTGACGTACTAATCTGAATATAACTAACATTGAGCCAGGTCTGGGACATCGCTAGCCGCACCATCAAGCACCAATTCACTGGACACGAGCAGGATATTTACTCGCTCGACTTTGCCAGGAACGGCAAGATCATTGCATCTGGTAGTGGTGACAGAAGTGTCCGTCTTTGGGATCTTGAGTCCAACATGCAAGTCTCCAACTTCTCTATCGAAGACGGTGTCACTACCGTGGCAATCTCTCCGGACAACCTCTACGTTGCGGCCGGATCACTCGACAAGAGCGTCCGCGTTTGGGACATTCAGACTGGTCAGCTTGTCGTACGTCTTGAAGGCGAGCACGGCCACAAGGACAGTGTTTACAGTGTGGCTTTCGCACCTTCTGGAAATCGTCTTGTCAGTGGCAGTCTCGACAAGACGATCAAGATGTGGGAGCTGTCGACCAACAACCGCTTTGTTCCAGGCGGGCACCAGCCAAGTGGCAAGTGCATCCGCACCTTTGAAGGCCACAAGGACTTTGTGCTCAGTGTTGCGCTTACCCCGCACGGTGACTGGGTTCTGAGTGGTTCCAAGGACCGTGGTGTCCAGTTCTGGGATCCTCATACTGGTGTCGCGCAACTCATGTTGCAAGGACATAAGAACTCCGGTACGTTTGACATGTCTTCAAAAATTTGCGACAAGTTACTAACCAAGTGTCTCTAGTCATCTCTGTAGCCCCAAGCCCTACAGGAGGCGTGTTTGCTACCGGCAGTGGCGACATGCGCGCGCGTATCTGGAGGTTCGACAGATATCCGGGACCTTAGGCCAGTCATGTTTCTTGAGTCGGTCATCATGTCATGAAAGACGTCCTGGTCAAGGGAAAGGTTTGCTCGTTACTCCCATGAGGGCAGGCGAGTGGGTGGTGGGAAAAACTGGCAAAGGGAATTGAGGACAATTGTGTTGTTTTGTTATCTTCGTGTTGGTGAAATCAGGCCTCTGTTAGGTGTTTATTTTGATTCCCAATTTTTTTTAAACTATAGTGAATACCGTTGGTTTCTTGACTTGAATCTGCTGCTTGAACTCGGAGTGTTGTATTATGTGATCTAAAGTTTACCTTCGCATGCTTATCACCCATAACATACATGCCTGCTCTTCCACATGTTCAAAGCCCCCTCCCCCAAATCAATTGAAATACGATCCGGATCAATTTTCCATTCCGCATGTAATGGGATATACGAATCTAGAAGATAAAATAGCTGTGACCATGTTTCACCATGACTCATGTCATGCTACGCTATGCACCAGGCAAACAAAGTCGCTAGCCAATATTCCCAAAAATGACTCAAACGCCACGAATGCTTCTTTCCTATCCGTCTACTAGAAAAATCAAACATTACCCGGACCTGGGCCTTTCCCTTGGTCGAGCAGCAGATGTGGTTTGAGGAAACCATCATCAATCTGCTTGAAAGCGTTCGCGGGATCGTGACTGATCTCGTTGAACAGCTGCTTCACTGCACCTGTGGCAGTCGCGACTCTACTCGAGCCCTCTGCAGTGCCGACCGGTCTTATACCGGACGTCGGGTACGGTGATGGGTCTCCCAACAATGGTGACGGACCGCGGTTGGGCGAGCGGCGTGCGCTGGGTGGAAGATCAAGATCGATATCGTCCTCGTCAGCAGAGCCACTATCGGCGGGGCTGAGAAGATTTTGGTCTGCGCCATCTTTGGCACGTGGGTGGCTCGAATTGCGTCGCATAGCGCCGTTGGGTCGTGTCGGTGGGCTGCTGCGACTAGCTGATCCACTAGAGTACGTGGCGTCTGGTCCGTTGACATTATTGAGTGAGAAGCCATTTTGGTTCGGGCGTGGGGTGTTGCCATAGGCTTGGCCCTGTTTGCGTGTGTAAGTGCCGCCATTAACGACTTCGATATCGAACTCATCATCGCTGTCAATCTCTTCAACCACGCCAGTGCGAATGCCTAGAATCTCCAGCATGCGCGCAGTGGTTCCTCCGAAGATGATGACAGTCAGAACGACTACGACGAGAACTGTGGCTCGCAGAGTGTCGCCGTTGTTACCTGTGAGTCCTGCGGCAAGTGCAACACCTACAGCACCGCGCAGACCTGCCCAGTAGATCATAACCTGGTGGGGATAAGGAATCTCTTCTACAATCTCGTCACCGCGGCGGCGCTGGCGATATCTTGTGACGGAGTTGATGAGCCTTGAAAGCGGGAATACTGCACACCAGCGAGCGGCGCAAATGCCAAACACGGTGATCAAGATAAATAGTGGCTTGTAGTCGAGCTTGTCGTCGGTGAAGAGAGACAAGCCTAGGTAGATGAAGATGAAGTTCTCCGAGATTTGCGAGGTAACCTGGAAAACAAACTTGGTGGTTAATTGAGTTCGTCTTGACATGTTGTGATAAGCATAATGCTTCAAGCAGATACCACAAAACAGCAAAGACACGATGCCTGTAAGATGGTCAGCTGATGGCTGTGCTAGATAGGGCGAGACTGACCAGACATGTGGATGGCGTTGGACAGGAAGTAGGTCAAGTATGCGGTGAGGATGATGAGACAACTCTCAGTCTTGGGGAACCGTCTAACATAGGTGAACTTGAGCATCAGAGACACGCCAATGCCCACCATGACACCGATGAACAAACTTCCGAAGAAGACACCCATGAAGATACCCAAGGCTTCGAAGAGGCTCCCGATTCCGAGGTGTTCAGCGCCGTCCTTGTATTTCTGTGCCGTCTCAAAGACAACAATGGCGATGGCGTCGTTGAGAATAGACTCGCCGAAGATGAGAGTGTACAGCTTTGGTTCTACTTTGTAAGTATCAAAGATGGCAAGAATGGTCACTGGGTCCGTGGCCGAAAGCGTGGCGCCAACGGACATGGCCTCGACGAAGTTGATTTTGAAGCCATCGAGAGGTATTCTGGTCCACAGGAACAGGATGACACCCAGAACTACGGCGGAGATGAATGAGCCAGCAAAGGCGAAGGTGAGAATAGTTCCGATGTGTCGGAAAAATTCCCTTGATGCAGTTCATAGCCAGCCGAGAGGATAATGGGCGGCAGTAGCAAATTGAAAAACATCTGGTAGTCGAAACTGACGACATCTCGCACGGAACTGACTGCTGTCAAGCGCAGCAGCAGGCCAACGACCATTCCTGAAGGGCATTAGCGAGCATCATAGCGCGATGGCATTACGAGATGGACTAGGCGACATGGCAGGGTGGATATGTGCAGATTACCCCACAATTAGTCGGGTGATGGGCTTCAGGCTGCAAGTGATCGGATTTTGTGGCCTTGCCCATGCACACTACGCCGAGCTTGTCTCAACGGATGCCAAGCCTGCGGAAAGGCCCAAGCAGGCGTAGAGGGTGGTGTGGGAACTAACAACGTACCAGCAAAAATCGAGAGGACCGTCTCATGCACCGCCTGGATCTTGCGCGTGTGTAGTATGTAGCTTGTGAAGAGGGCTATGATAAGGAGCATAATCAGAATGGACAGGGCCCATGATGTGAATATCTCCTTCTGTCCTGCCTCTGGTTCGTCTGTTGGGGGCGCATTAGAGATGGGATCGCCGAGTGTGTGGTGGAGCGGGGGACTGACCGTCCGGGTCTGCGTCGGATGCATCGCGCTCTGCCGTCAACAGTCAGTACGTGTACCGGGTATTTCTCGAAGATTCGAGGGCGCATACTGAGTAGCTGGCCAACTGCCCACCACCCCATTATCGACGCCATGTTGGACTCAGGGCCGGGCTGTCATCAACAGCGCGAGTGTGTGCGGTGTGGCTCGAGGTTTGCGCGGGGGTCGGGTGTATGTGAAGGGTACAGGTGGCTGTTGGGTGGTGGATGCTAGGATGCTACCTGGGCTGCCTAGAGATGGGACGGAACCTGAGGCAACGTTGCGCAAGGAGTCGTCGGCCGGCGGTGGGCTTCGGAGGTCCTCCGGTCACAGTCAGATCCTTATCCAGCGCGCGTGGCCGCGGGTGTGTTGGATATAGCGAGCGGTGCGAGGCTGGCGATGCACTGTATTCGCTTCCCAGAACTCCTGATAGACGCGTCGCTGCCTTTCCACGGCGTCCAGGTGGTCTCCATGTCTCGGCTGGCGTTGCAGCGAGCGCCAATCAGCATGCGGCCTAGTGCCGCGGACAAGGGCATCTGAACCGCTGATGCAGCGACGTCATCGCACACACACTGGCTAAGACGCCTGCATGACATCTACCCAGAATCACCTGCAAGACCTGCTAGACCCTTCACCAAGCCTACCGAAGACGGCTGGCAGACACATGACCTACACCGCCTCTTATGAAACCCTGACTCCCCGCCCGTTGTTATACCTGGCTGCTCCTCGCCCCTCCATCCTCCCTTTGAAGCAGCGTCCGATTGTCAACTTTGGTCGAGATCCGACATCGATCGCCACTCAAGCACCAACGGTTCCACTAGCGCCTTTTTCACCGTCGACAAGCATGGATTAAGTCCCGCCGCGCCACTTGACTTTTGTTGATAGCCTTGCCTCTCACCACATCTCTCCACCTTTACACCTCGCAGTTACCCACTGAGGTCCTGCCAATCACAATCTCGCCGGCCCTTACAGCGAGCCTGTAAGCCACCAGGGCTGACCACGTCGCACGCCCAGGCCACACCAAGCACCACGCCCATTGCGACTGCCACCTGTGCCAATATGTCGTCTTCACGGCCCGACGCCGAGGACTCGCCCTCGTCTTCACCTCTTTCCTCTCCTCCCTCCAAACTCGACACTTCCACTCGCCCCCGGCCACGACCCAAGCTCGTTTCCTTTGGCCGCGACTCGCTCATGGGCGGACGTCCAGACACTGAAGGCCACACCCACGTAGAAATCATCCACGAGAACTCGCCCACCATCATCCCTCAAAGAATGTCCTCCGAAGTCGATCCGCTCCTTAAGGAGGCCTTGTCGCCTGACGACGATGACGATGACTGGATGGGCGAACAGCAGGTCGAGGAGACAAAGAGCAGTTGGTTTCTCTTCTTGCTCACTTTTGGCGGTCTCGGTCTGCAAATAGGATGGTCTGTAGAGACTTCCAACGGATCGGTAAGTGCTTTTCCTGGAAGCCAATGTCCATGAGGACGCCATGGACCCTGCATGTAGATCTGGCCCTCGAGGACCCTTGGGCGTACTGTCACCGAGGTCGTGTGAGCCGTGCATGCATGCATCATCTGTCGGACCACCGCAATTCGTTTCATGTACAACATATGCTAACCATGTGTGCAGCCATACTTACTGTCGCTCGGTCTGAGCAAGTCGATGCTTGCCCTCGTGTGGATTGCTGGCCCGCTCTCTGGTGTACTCGTCCAACCCTATGTCGGTCTCAAGAGTGACAATTGCCGCCTGCGCTGGGGTAAACGGAGACCCTTCATCATCGGCGGTGCAGCTGCCACCATCGTCTCCCTCATGGTCCTCGCTTGGGCAAGAGAAATCATCGGAGGTTTCCTAGGCATCTTCGGTGCTGACCCCGAGTCAACGGGTGTCAAGACAAGCATCATGCTCTTCGCTGTCCTGTTCGTATACGTGCTGGATTTCGCTATCAACGTCATTCAAGCCGGTGTGCGCGCATACATTGTCGATGTGGCACCTACCCATCAGCAAGAATCTGCTAATGCATGGTTGATGCGCTCCGCCGGTATCGGTAACATTCTGGGTTACCTAGCAGGTTACATCAACCTCCCAGACTACCTTCCATGGCTCGGTAACACACAGTTCAAGGTCCTCTGCGCCATCGCTTCTTTCGTCATGGCACTCACTGTCGGTATCAGTTGCTCCACCTGCTCGGAACGCGATCCCCAATTCGACACTGCACCAGCCGAGCAGCAAGATGGTGTCATCGCCTTCTTCAAGGGTCTTGCGCGCTCAGTAAAGAAGTTACCTCCTCAGATCAAGAAGGTCTGCGCCGTACAGTTCTTTGCTTGGATCGGGTGGTTCCCATTCCTCTTCTACATCACTACATATGTTGGCGAGATTTATGCCGATCCATACTTTGAGGAGAACCCCCACCTGCCGGACGCCAAGATTGACGAGATCCTGGAGGACGGTACAAGGATTGGCACCAGAGCTCTTTTGGTTTTTGCCATCACCACATTCGTCGCCTCCGTCGTCCTGCCGTTCGTAATCCCCCCAACCTTCCAAGCCCCAGAACCCGACCGTCCGATAACACCGGCGACACCCATGACACCGACAACCCCACACTCTATGGGTGGCTCTGGCTACTTTGCCTTGAACCCCACACCAAAGGGAAACCCGAACACAACTATGGAGAAGATCTCTAGGTCAATGGAGATGTTGCAGGTCAAGTCGCTCACTCTCCGCCGATCCTGGTTCATATCGCATATCCTCTTCACCGTACTCATGGCCCTTACCTTCTTCGTTCGTAGTACGTGGGGAGCGACTGTCCTCGTTGGTGCTATTGGAATTCCTTGGTGTGTAACCAACTGGGCGCCGTTTGCCATCATTTCTTCCGAGATCTCCAAGAGGGACGCCATCCGTCGTGGTATCATCAGGCCCCGTGATCGCGAGTCACAGCTCATCGCCGAGGGTGAGGACGACGGTTCAGGCGCCGATTCTGCCGGTGTCGTTTTGGGAATTCACAACGTTGCTATTGCAGCACCGCAGGTTATCGCGACACTCGTCAGCGCCATCATGTTCAAGCTTCTACAAAAGCCTAGAGGCACAGCAGGCGACACGAGTGTGGCTTGGGTGCTGCGATTTGGTGGTGTTTGCGCTCTGGTCGCTGCATGGTTGACGTTGCAAGTTAACGAAGAGAAGGAGGAAGAGGAGGAAGAGGAGCCTTTCAGGAGGAGACGGATGTCTTAGGACGACTCCGACGAACGGTCCGTTTCTCATCTAAGACGGGACTTGGAGCGGTCGTTGAGCCGACAGAGCTTGTCTACTGAAGGAAACACCCGATTCACAAGACGATAGAAACGATGAAAGGATAGAGAACGAATGATTTTAACGAAGAGCATACGCTATACTACATGAAGAGCCTCACGGCTTGACTCTAGCGTTATACAGTACTGGTTTGGATTGGGATGCATCGCAAGGCGCAGCCAAGGCGTTTCTTTGGTAGGTTTGAGCGAGCGAGCGAGCATACCTTTTTTGTAAGCGCGCACGCGGAGTTTTTGGACGTACATATGGGTTGGCAAAGGGGAAAATGCACCGGGCGCACTCCTTTAGGCAGATGTTCATCTTACTAGCCAAACGCTGGCACACTTAGAGAGTGGTCGAATGATATCACGTCAACTCTACTCTAATGCCATCCAGACTGACTTACAACATTGAGCAGACTCTGCCAGATCTTGTTTGGAAGATTGATATGCAAAGATGCAGTCGGTACTGTTGACGGAATGATAGTTCAATCTCCTTGTCGGGACTACAACAATGTATAGACAGATGAAGCGAAGTTCTCTAACGATAGGTTTTACTTGACGAATCTCCTACCTACCGACTAATCAATCTATATACAACGTGCACCATCCTTAGTGGGCATAACATCCTTTAGTACCATCCACCTTCTAAACCATTCCGATGCGATTTGGATTCAGGTGCCAGCCACCAGTTTACAAAGCAGGCTTAGCGTTCTTGACGAGCATCTCAAAGTACGCCTGGTTCCACTGACCGGCCTCAGGACTCGGCTTGAAACTGTCCGACTTGCCACAGAAGGAGTCGTACCTAGTCGCCGAGCTGTCACTTGTACCGTCACTCTCGCCACCAGGCTTGACCCACACAAATGAATCAACAAGGCTGGATCCCGTGTTGCTCGTGGGACGAACACCGAATCCAGCGCCGTTGACATTGCACCAGTTGCCCCACTCCTCGCGCAGACCGGTAACGCCGTTGCGGCCTGTGTCGACGATGGCTTGGCTGGGCATACCTGCAGATTTGAGCTCGGGAGAGAAGAGCTCGACGAACTTCTTCTCGTTTTGTGCCTTGTTCCATTGGGCGTCTGTGGCCTTGGAGAACTCTCCTGGGGTTAGGTCCCACGCGTTCCAGCCAGCGACGTTGGTAGCGACACCACGGACGGACTTGGGGCTACCGGCGTTCTTGTAGACGGTGGCTAATTCCTTGGCTCCGGGCTCTGCACAACATTGTTAGTGATAAGCTGGAGGGTTTGAAAAGTGATGAGAGCATGCTTACTCAAGTTGTCGTTCCAGCCGAGCCATCCTCCGTGACCGGCATCGATGTACATGGCGATGTTGGGCAGGTTGAGCTGCTTCAGGGCATATGCGACACCCTCACGGTAGCCAGAGGCAGAGTCCTTGCAGGTCTGGAGGTTGGCGTTGGTGACCAAGTTGGGGAGGGAATCGGGCTCAATGACGAGAGCGATGGCAGTTTTTGGGTACTTCTTGAAGATGGCAACAATGGCTAACATATCATCAGTACGGGTCGTAGTCTTCGATGGACAAGACAGTCTTACGGTCAATGTACTCCTTCTTGTAGATGTCGATCTCGCCAACAGCGAGCTCACCGTTGGAGGCCTTGGCTGCGCAGTCACGACCGGGCAGGTCGTAGATGACGAGCGCGGCAATCTGACCGCAAGGAACGTCTTTGATGCCATCTTCGACAACAGAGATCTTGTCACGAGTGTCACTATATAT